ATGGCCCTGGCCATGAGATCCACCCCCCTCTAGTCATCATCCCCCTTCTGGCCGCTCCCGATGGAGGCAACTCCCGGGAGGTCGTCGCCCCCCCCCCCACCCCCACCACCACCACCAGCAGGAACACCCCTCCCGGGGTCGACGCTTTCCCCTTCGGCCTCTTGCCCCCCAGGCACCTCGAGCTCATTTGTGCCGCGGCTTGCTCCAAGAGGGCCCTGGAACAGCCCAAGATTGCTCCCAGACGGCCCAAGATACCCTCAAGGCAGCCTCAGAAACGCCGAAGAAGCCCCACGAGGGCTGCGAGAGGACCGCCAAGAGGGCCCCAATAAGAGGAGAACATCAGGAATCCCAACAGCGCTCTGGGCGTAGGTGGTTTAAGAAGTTCTGTCTTCTCGCCCCCTCAGTCCCCTCCTCGGGGGAGGGGTGTATCATTGCTTCCTATCAGTATACACCCCCTCTCCCAGGCGACCAGCAGCCAACCAGGAACACTGCCGACCCTATGCTCGCATCCCCCCAACCATCCCTGTCGTAAAACAACTCAGAACACACTCTGCCTCCAAATCCGGGCATTCGCAATCAACCCGATGCGGCCTCCCCAACATCCCTGTCAACATAAATACAAAGCACACTTTGGGGCAAAGTCTTGAGTCACGTTTTTGAGGACCGCGAACACGTTAAACTGTTTTTGTTCGTCAGGGACGGCGAGGGTGTCAGCATATTGCCTGTTGCGCGTAGGGCCACCATCCCTGTCAACAAAACTATACAACATGCACCTCAACCTGCGACATGCGCGGCCACCCCGCGATCACTGTCAAGTGGTTCTTGACAGGGACAGCGGGGGCGGGGGCGTATGGCCTGCTGTGCGCAGGCCCACTGGACACAATGATAGGCATTGGTTTTCGACAAGGATGGTGGGAGCCGGCATGTTTCCCGACATGTTCGTCAGATCCGCGCGGACCTCCGGGAAAGTATGCTTATGCTGCAGTTGTTAGAAGCCTCCTAGATGGGGTTCGAGAAGTCGGAGGATCGTACCCCATCATCGATGCATCGCCGGCGCATCGGTGATGCCTCGGCGACGTCGGTGGTACACCGATGCCGCTGGCGTCGAAAAATCGGGCTCCGAACATTTGCTTCTGAATGTTGCTCTTCTTCGGGATCGTCGATGTGTCTGGGGAGACCACAAAGCACCGATACCGCTACTCACCGGACCTCTCCCTGCGGGCGCTCAGATCAGAATCCCGAGGCGAATCCAACGGTGGCGACGAAGGCCTCCCAGGGGGCCGAAGACGACGAACACGAGGCAGGGGCGGCGGTACCCTCTCCTCTTCGGGCATTCTGCGCGATCCTCGATGCTCGTCGTGCCTCGAGGCTCGAGGCTCGAGGCTCTCGATCATGCCCCGGTGGCCGCCGGGGGGCGGCGGGGGCACCGCCGCTGCCCCGACGCGGCCCTGCGCTCAAGGGCCGCCGCGGCCCCGACGCGGCCCTCCCCCGCGGCACCTCCAGCGGCCGCGGGGCCCCGGCGGGCCACGGCGGGGCGGCGGCGCGGGGCAGGAGGGCCGCGTCCGCCACCCGGTCCCTCGAGGGGACGAGGGGGGAATCCCTTCGAGAGCTGGGCGAGGGCTGCCAGAACCGTGGCTGCCAAAACGGCCCTCCCGGAAGGAAACGACAACTTCCCGGAATGAGGCGCGGCACGCGAAACAGTCAACGGGCTGCTTCCCGGAAGGACGAAGACAACTTCCCGGAGGTCGATATTAGCAGCCACGGATTTAGCAGCCCTTGCCCGGCGTCCGATCCATCCTCGTGCTGAGCACCCCGACAAGCGAAGGAATCGAAGAGGACAGGGGAGCGAGCCCAGGTGAGACATCGAAGAGGACGGGGCTGCCGCAGTGAACGCGCCCAGGGAAGGCATCGAAGAGGACAAGGCTGTCAGTGAACGCCCCCAGGGAGGGAATCGAACAGGACAGGGCCGTGCAGTAAACGCCCAGGGCCGTCTGGTGCACGCCAACTGTCGGCCCCGGCGGGCCACGACGGCTGGCGGCGCGATCGGCCACCATCACCGTATACTTCAGGAGCTCCCCGAAAGAGGTCAGGAGCTCCTTTCAGGTTTGCCTCGGAGTCTTCGCACTGTACGCGCTGGACGCGCAGATCGACTACATCGCTGGCATGCAGACAGTCATGGCAAGCAGGCTGCTCAAGTTCGGCATCGCGAATGGAAGGCCTGGGTAGCTAAGTTTGTCCAGCAGGGCGCCAGCATTACCTGGACCTGCAGAGACGGCATTGCCCATGGTCTACGCCAGTCCACATGGTTTAGCAGACCGTGAGCTTGAGAAGTGGACGGATGTTTGGCGACGCCACAGGCTGGATGGACCTCCGCATGGGCGCGCCATGTCGGACTGGGAGCCTCTTCCTCCTCTCACAGGGGCTCAGTTACGTGCCGCCACGCTCGCCTTCCCTGCGACGACGACTGCGGGGCAGTCAGGAGTGGCACCGCGCGCGCCATGGCAACTATCAGACATCGGCTTCAATATTTTGGCGCAGTTATTTAACCAGCGCGATCAGTCGGGCACGTGGCCACCCCAGCGAATCCTCAACATTCTCGTGCGGCCCCGCAAGGCGGACGGGGGTAGTCGGCGGATATGCTTGGTCAATACCTTGCTACGTCTATGGTCGTGGGCACGACCGCCTGCATCGCGAAGTTGGCTGCAGCAGGCGAAGGTCTCTGATGTATGGGGCACTAGAGGCGCTGGCAGGTCTTCAAAGGCATCAGCGCGCGACCACAACCTGCATGCCGAAATGGCGCGCTTCTTGGGGGAGCACTCGGTTACTGCCTCGCTGGATGCTTGGAAGGCGTTCTAGTCTGCGCCACTTTCGGCGTTGCTGCAGCAGAGTTTGGACGAGGGTTTCCCTGCGCGAGGCGCATGAAGGGTTATTCAGTGCCGCTTGCAGCCGCGGGCCATTCAATGCTACGTGTCCCTGTCCACGTTCTACCGGTCTTGGTAGTGCATCTTAGCGTCTTGAGTCTACCAACGTGCCCACGGTGCTCACTGCCAAAGGGATTCGCCGCGTGGCCTCACCTACCACCATTCCCAGGGCCGTGGTGGACGAGTTCTCGGCGCAATGAATCGGGCACGACCTGGCACACTTACGCAAGTACTTGGGCCACCTGCGCGGGTTCATTGAAGATGTCAGAGAGCTTGGGTCGGCCATGCAAGCAAGCAAGTCAGGTTTCGTCGCCACCAGCATGGAGGCGATACGGGCCTCCAAGACCGCGGTGGACTTCTGCAAGATCCCTGCGCAGGGGCACATGCGCAACTTGGGGCACGAGCTGCGCGGCAGGGCTGTCACCCGGCGGGCAGCGGCCAAGCGGCACATGGTGCTCGAGGGTGCTGAAATTCAAGCGCAGTGCAGGGCCTCGCATTACCGTGCTGTGGCGGACTGGCACGTTGCCCTCCGCTGGGCACGGGCCAGCGGTCAGCGGGGTCGCGGGTTCCGGGCTCCAGACCCTTCGGCAGGCGGCCACGGCCCTCACTGGTTACCCAGGGCGTGGAGCGAGCAGCGCGCTGTCCTTGGCCACGCAGCGCGACCCGTGGTACGATCCTGTCTTCGAGGCCACCACTAGCCCACCCTTTTCGTACATCGCATCATCTGGGAGCAGCTGGTCAGTTTGGGGCGACCTGAAAGAGCTTGGCGTGCCCTCGTGGCGACGGGGGCAGCGAGCTGGAAGAATGCGCGCGGTCCTATCGCAGTTACGTTTTTATCACTCCGACGCGTTGGCTGGGAACATGTTATCTCCCAGGGTACTTCGTGACGAGTGTGGGCAGTGGTGGTTTCTTCATACTACCGACCCGATGATGACGACGAGGGACTTGGTGCGTGCTGGTGCACAACGTTGGCAGATGCGTAAGGGTACAGGCACACCATGACGAAGACCCTGGAGCGCCGATCTGGGCAAGGTGCCTACGGCGCTGCGTCGGCGACAAGGCAGCGGCGCTGCAGAACCCGACGATTGCTGGGGCTGTGAGAGCCCTGTGGTCCGGATCTATGGACGAAGGTACGTCTGCATGCTCATGGTCTTGCCCAGGACAGCTTGCGTCGTGGTTTTGGGCAGGAGGAAGAATATATCGGTCACATTTGCTACCAATGCCCTGCTGTTCAACAGCAGCTTCAGGATGGTGAAGAGGAGCGCCCTATGCCCGAGGAGCTTGTCAAGCATCGCGAAGCGGTGCTGGCCCACGGTGCTCTGCGCACACATCTGGTTTCTGACGACTGTTATGATTTGAGCGTCGGGTTGTCCTTACTACCAGGCGAGTTCACTTGGATGGTGAAGGAAGCGCCGATTACCTTCTGGGGTGACTAGAGCAGCAATATGCAGTCTTGGCCTACCGAGGTGTTCACTGACGGATCGACCATGCCATCCAGCTTCCCCGAGCTTCGCAAATGTGGATGGGCCTGCGCACGAACGTCGCCGATGGGGTACCCTGTCCGCGCTGTTTACGGCGGCCCACCTGGGGTACAGCAAACTATTGGTACTGCCGAGCGTTTTTGCGTTCAACAGGTGCTCAAGCCTTTCCTACTGGCTACGGACGTGGTCACGGACTTGGCGGGGTTGGTGGCCGAGGTCGGCGCTGGTAATCACGCGACGCCACGGCTGGTGCACGGAGCGCCAGCATGTGGAGGCAGATCCGCGGGCTGCAAGAGCACAGCGGCAGATAGCCACTACGTTTTCATTGGTGCCCGTCTCATTGCGACCACGTGGAGGTCGCATGTGATGCAACCCACACGGCCCGCTTCGACCGGGTGCTTGGCAACGCGTGGGCCGACTACTTCGCCAAAGAAGGGGCTCGAAGCATCAGCTACGCCGACGGCTACATCGACTTGTAAGATGTCCTTCGCTCAGGCCAAATTGCGTGCTCGGCTTTTGGCCTTTACGTTGAGTCGTTTGTTTCAGCTCAAGGTGTGGGGAGACCACGTTCCACAGCCTCGGCGCGAAGAGCCGAAGCCTCGGTTGCAGTTCGTTCACCATGGCATGTGGTGGTCTGACGTGCACGGTGAATGGAAGTGTCGCGGATGTGGTTTGCGGGCTCGCACCAACACGCATGTCAACAACTTGACGTGGGGCCCACGCAAGGTATGCAACCCGACGGCGTTCCAAGCCTTCCAGGCCGACGTCTTTTTCGGCACGGCCAAAGGCTCGACCTGTGGGCCTAAACGTGAGGAGACAGTGGAGGTCGCTCTCGACTTCGCGGACGAGGTGCTTGGTAAGGCCGGTCAGATTCAGCATCAGGCAGTTGACGAGACGGGCAAGGCCACGCTCTACACTAATGTCTACTTTGCCGAGCTGGGCCATACTACATAGGGGTGTGATCTGGCGGTGGTCTGTACTAAGTGTGCACGGACATCGGGCGACGTCACCCCAAAAGGTCTGAAATTTGCAGGAGCCGTGTCCTGGAGCGGTTCGCGACCGTGAGACTCGCCGCAACCAGATCAAGAGCGTCCTGCGGTTCGCCAAGGCACAGTCGACGGTATTCCACACGCGGCTCTATGACTTGCTGTCCGAGCGCAAAGGAAGCACCCCATCCGTGGGCGAATCGTATCATCTACTACGTGGAGTGCTGCGTCGCCGTTGTGATGGCTGGCTCTTGGCGGCGTGCACTCGGTACCAATCCTTGGTGCGTGTATGGTCACTTCTTTCTCGCCATGGTGCGCACCTTTCTTTGTTGCGGTGGATGGCGCGTATGCCGTGCTGGTCCATTTCATTACTCTTTTTGGTGGCGGCTGGCATGGGTCTTTGCTGCAGTACACTTTCAGGCTCCGCAGCTTGGGTTTTGGCCAACTGTGTGCATTCGTGTGCTGGCATCGGTGTCGGCTAGTATCGGTGCCTTTTTTATACCAGATCTGGAGGCACCTGGCATTGGGCTGGCTGTTCTCGGGCCTGGAGTGCCCTGCTGAGTTGGAGGGCGCCGAGTTCGTGGTCTGCGAGCTCCTGCTCTGAGGCCGCCCCATGGCGGCGCGGTAGCGGCGTCCGCCTGCGCACTGCAGGCGGCCGCCCAGAGGCGAAAGGACGAAAGGACGAGGAGGAGGAGGCGGAGGACGAGGAGGAGGAGGCGGAGGAGGAGGACGAGGAGGAGGAGGAGGAGGAGGAGGAGGAGGAGGAGGAGGAGGAGGACGAGGAGGAGGAGGAGGCGGAGGAGGGCGCATGCAGCGCCGCTCAACCCAGAACGCCCGCGCCAGGCGGCGCCGCCGCCCGTGCGCGCGCTGTCCCGAGGAGCCTCGTCGCGCCCGCCGCGCCCGCGGGCGGCGGGCCGGGTGCCCCCGCCGCCATGCGTGGCCGTCGGCCCGTGGGCCGCTGGGCGGGTGGACCGCCGCGGGCCCCCCCAGAGATCCGAGGATATTAGGGCGACGATATCTATACATATCCACTGCTCCCGGCCAGGCCAATCCTGGGCCCAAGAGCTGTGTATACGCCCTCCTGGCTTGGCCAGGGAGGCATATACACCGCTCCTGGGCCCAGGATGGGCCTGGCCAGGAGCAGTGGATATGCATAGGTCTCGTCGCCCCAGATATGATTGTTTCAGTCCGGCGTTTTCTTCCTGGATTTCGGCCTCGGGGGCCCGTTGTATAGGCGCCCAAGGAGCATCAAACATGGATCCGGGGCGAAAAGCGACACCTGGGGCCGCGGGTTGAAAAAAAACAGATCGGCGGATGTCTGGGACGAGGCGTGCGGCCCGGAAAGGCGGAAGCGGAGCGGGGCGGCAGAGGCGGACGGCCACTTGAGCACGCGCGCGGGTGCCGGCGGGAACCTGCAACAGGCTGCGTCTCGGGCTGCCAGATCCTACAGCAAGCCGTCGATCGATGCCTTCTGCGGATATTGGGCGCATGAGCGTGAGGAAACGGGGGGGGGCACATTCGGAGCTGCCACTGTGCGCTGGCGATGCGCGGGTGGTCCCGCGCGCGGACGCAAGACCGAAGCAACTTGCGCCAGCAAAGGGGAAACATTCTACTGCGGTGGCAACGCATGGGAGCCTCCCGTACCATCTTGTCGGCTCTTGCGAACCGACGCTGCTCGACGCTGCATCGACGCTAATCGACGCTGCATCGACGCTGATCGACGCTAGCCGACGCTAATCAGGCGCTAGCTCATCGACTCTAGACGCTAATCGACGCTAAAGACGGAATTTAAAGGGTATACTAGGGTACAGTCAGAAACCCTAACAAGGACGCGCGACTTTGCTCAGGGTACCCTTGCGTCCTTGCTCTTCCTTGCTCTTGCGTCCTTGAGGTTTTCGTCGTCCGCCGCCCCCAAAATCCCAACTTCGGCTCCCAAGGGCCTTGCGTCCTTGCCGCGCGTCCTTATTAGGTTTTTGACTGTATACCATGCGGGCAGTACTTATATCCATATCCAGAGCGTCGTGGACTTTTTGGGAAGAGGTGCCGCAACGCCGGGGCGCACTGGATATGGATAAAATCAGGCCTCTTGGGGCCAGATGTTTATCCATATCCAGTGCGTCTACGGTTTCTGGGGAAGAGAGCCCAAGAATCCAAGACTGGAATGTGGATATAACTATTGCCCGCATACCAGGCTCCCGCGATTTGCTACCGAGGGCTACCACCTGGGAGCCCTCGCGGGAGCATGCGGCTCCGGCGACGGCGCGCGGCCGAGAGGAGGGGGGCCGCAGCGCTGCACCACGGTGCCGCCCGGCAGGCTCGTGGCGCGCCGAGCCCCCCGCGGTCTCGCGGGCAGTGTGCGGCGCAGGGCAGGCAGGAGAGTCGGTGGGAGGAAGAGGAGGAGGAGGAGGAGGAGGAGGAGGAGGAGGAGGAGGAGGAGGAGGAGGAGGAGGAGGAGGAGGAGGAGGGTGGGGGTGGGATTCGGATGTCGCCACTTACCGAGTGCGGCCGGCTCGCTTCGACACTCGGGGGCGCGCCCCCGAGTGTCGACCCGAGGCGCGCGGAGTACAGTCGGGGCCTTGACCTAAGGAGCCCTAAGTAAGGAACGAGGCCCCTCTTTTCCACAAGCTGAGCTTCGGTTCCCCATCGAAGACCTCAGGAAAACCCGAGGCCAGCTGCAAAACACTCAAGGAACGCGGGGCCCCTCCCCAACCAAAAGGGTTCCTTCTGCAGGGCCCCGGCTGTAAACGCCAACAGGAGTTCCGACGTGGAGTTCCAGAGGTGAGCTCGAGGGATCCGTGGCCAGCGTCTGCCGAAGGGCGCAGCCACAAGGTGTCACCTGGAGTGCACTCCGGAGGTCGCTCCGAACTTGTCTTCGAAGTGGACGTCGACACAAGTCGGATGGTTCGCGTTGTGTGTCGGGAGCGCGATTGGGTGCGCGTGTCCCCTTCGCGCTCTGGAGCGGGGCGTGGCTTCGCGCTCATATCTGCGTCGCGCGTCGCGCAGCCCCGCACCGCGACGCGCAGGGGACAAACGCGCCCAGAAGCGAGATGGAAACGCACAAGGCTTGCCGCAACATGGGCCGAAACAGTGACGACCTGTGGGAAACATGCCCAATCCACAAACGTACTTCGATATGATGGGCCAACTTTACGCCACCGCTACCATAGGCTGGAGGGGGACGGGGAGTAATCCTCCTCCTCCGTCTCCTCCTCCTTCTCCTCCTCATCCTCCTCCACCTCCTCCTCCCTCTCGTACCCAGTGTATTTGTGGTGGGAAATGGGAACATCACGATTTTCACAACAGTGTTCGTATCTCTCGCCTGCCCATGTGTTCAGACGGACCACGCGAGAGCAGAGTCTGGCGCACCTGAAAGTGACGACGAGCGCCAGAACCTGTCGGACTTGATGTGGCACTGACAGCTGGCCTTCTGAGGAACTAGCAAGTGAGCGTTTTCTTATTCGGCATTTCGACCTTGAGCGAAAGGGGAGGGAGGGGGGGGGGTCTGGCTCTGGGCCTCTGCTTTGGAGCAGCATTCCCATGAACAATCCTATTGGGAGCCGTCCACCTGCTTGAAACAGGCGCCCAAAACAGCCAAGGTCTACTCCATCAGGGGGGAGGGGGGGGAGGGGTGCGATGGCCCGCGCCGATCGGGAAAACGATGAATAAGAAAACGATCACCAAGATCCACGTCACATTTGTTTCGCACCAAGTGCTTTAGCCCGGTCTCGGCCCCAGGGCCATCACGGATCGGTCCGGCGTGAGAAATGCCGCAGGAAGTTAGGGTCCAGGGGCCCAATCGTGACTTCGCACGATGTTGTAACTCTTTCGCGTCGTCGGATCTCAGAGGCTGAAGGCATCCCCAGATCTCAAACGCAGAAACACGTAGGTTTCCCTGATGTGTTTGCTTCGGGGAGGCCCTCGCTGGGCTGTCAAACGCTGGCCCCGGACGCAAAGCTTGCCCTGGGGAGAGGGTCAGGAATTCCTTGGACTCCGTGTGGGAAGGAATCAAGACATCGGATCTCTGGGGAAATGGACGACCAGGGGCCACCATGCATACGCCAGAAAACAAAGGTAGGGCGAGCGCTGACGATGCCCAACAGCGAACTTCGTCAAAAACCGAAACCTCTCACTGTTGGAAGCTACTGGGCAGGCCGGAGGCAATGCTCGCCCCGAAGAGATGACGCCCGCGGCGACGCAGACAGCGAATCCGATTCAAACTGGCCAAGCGTTGCCGTTGGTCCCCGTCCCCATGATTTCCATCCCCATGTCGGCAATACTGATCCCAGACCTCCGACGCCATAATGGTTGTTCCATCCTGGCGTTTTCCCTTCGATTCTGGCAAGGCACAACAAGTCTTCATGACAAGGCAAACAAACCAGGATGTGGAACAAAAAACTGTCCCCGAGGAAGGAAGGGTCCGAGGGTTCGGTGCGGATAAAAGGTAACTGCAAAGGGCCCCACCATAATTACCCAGTTGCGAGTACCGCAGCTCAAAAGATCCTCTTCGGTGGAGCTCCCGATGGGGCCACGAAAGGTGTGAGTGGTGTGCGGGAGTGGGCGGGGAACCGCATGTAGACTCTGCCGCTGGGGCCTTTGGTGGATCTCCCTACGGGTCCACGAAACTTGTGACGGGTGTGCCGAGGTGGGTGGGGGGGCGCATTTTGACACTGCCACTGGGGCCCTCGGTGGAGCCTCCTATGGGGTCACGAAACGTGTGAGGGGTGTGTCCACATGGAGGGTGGGGGGGAGGCGCGTGCGAACTGCGTCAACGGGATCTTCGGTGGAGCTCGATGTGGCGGACCACCATAGGTGTGTGAGGGGTGAGCCGACATGGGCGTGAGAATGAGAGAGGCAGGGGCGGGAGGAGGCAGCGGGGGGAGAGGGGGGAGGGAGGGAGGGAAGGGAGTGACACCGGAGCGCTGCCTCGCCAGAGCGAGGACCCCGCACCACGGGATGGCCGGGAACACACACACACACACATCGTCCGGAGCCCGTGGCTGCCGACGCGCAGTCAAAGAGTGAGGCGCGCAGTCTTGTCCGGGCCGTCGAGGCTCGAGGAGAAGGGTCTCCAACGCTGTCATCTTTTTGCGCTGGGCGGCTCCAGCCCTTCTCTGGAGCTTCCAGGAGCCTCCAGGGGCGCCCTGGGGATTCCATGGAGGAACAAGACACTGCAGGAGCATGATTTCTCTGAGGTCGGTGCGGGTTTCTTGGATCGGCACTGGACCCCCTCCATGCCGCGCGGAGCGCGCCAGGGACGGCGACCGAGGCACCGCCAGGGAGGCTCCAGCGCAGCTCCAAGAAACCCGCGCGGAGGTCAGAGAAATTGTGTTATGCAGCATCTCCGGCGGCAGCACGACTTACTGGGCAGGAGGAGTTCCAACCAAACCGACGACAAGGTCCCGAGCCGCCGTTGCGTGATGGAGACGACAACAGCAGACATGCACCAGATCTCGGCGCTTAACCCCATCGGCAATCGGTGACAAGCCCCCACCGTGCTACCAGTCGATTGCTGCTGGTGTTGCTGGCCCGAGATTACGCCCTCTGCGTCTGAAACACTTGCCAATCAACTGCTGCGCTCAATATCCACATCCCTCTCTCGTCCCCCCACCTGCCTCCCTCGTTCCCCCCTCTCACCACGCACTTCCCCATGTCATCCTTTCTGGTGTCCTCTCGCCCTCTCATTATCTCAGTATCTCTCTCTATCTCTCTCCTTTTCTCTCAGCCCTCCCCCTGCCCCTCCATTGACTGCGAAGGAGGAGGAGGAGGAGGAGGAGGACCAGTGCAAACCCAACGCGCACCGACGACGTTGCAATTTACTCCCCGTTGCAGTTCCATGTCCATACGCCCCTACATGAAGTCATTTGCACTGCGGGAAGCCGGCAAGTGGATGGCAAAGAAGACTTCTCCAGATCTTGGGACTTCAGCGCCGGAAACCAACGTTACTGATGCGCCCTGACA